TCGATTGATCGTCACTCATGTTATCGAGAGCCGCGGCGACTAAAGAAGGGATGAGAACACATAGTTAAGTATCTGAATGAAAGACGTACGACGTTGAAGGGCCTTGAATCCCTCTGTGAGCGGAATGATCATGTTCCGCACATCAAAGTTGCGACGACAGGCCTTGAGTTTGTCGAGGCGTTGATTTGTGACGAGCATCTGGCCGAGAGCGTTAAAGCGGCTGGACCGGCGCCATGGTTCCTTGACAGCTTCAATGTGTTTTGACTCCGTAATGGAGGAACAGAGGCCGTTGGGAGAGCCGAACTGTTGGATCAGCCAACGGTAGTGGGTCATGGAGTGCTGACGTGGAAGGGAAATGGACGTGATAGTGCCCGCCTCAGTGAAAAAGGTTCGGTAATGGTGGAAACGATCGAGCGCGTCTTGGATGTCGACGAGGTCCTTGTCCGTGAGCGCGTTCCGGCGAACAAGGTAACAAAACTCCAGGAAGGCGCGGAAAGCCTTGACGACATCATCGGGAACGCGGCCTTCGAGTGCAGGAAGGTAGACCTAGTAGAGGGATTGGTCATAGTATGGTATGAATAAGAAATGTGACGTACCTTCATCAACGCTTTAGAATCATCCCCCGTCCACTGCTTGAAGTCTCGACCTTCTGGAAAGCGACGAAGACCGGGAAAGGGTGCCGCGACCGCTATTCTAGAGATGGTGAACATATGAGTGGAAAAGGTAACCCAACTCAGCCCGAACTCACGCACCGTCGATCAATGTCATCCATTATCTTTTTAGCCTCCGTTTTCCCATGAACGTCGGCGAGATACTTGCCCACCCATTCAACAAGGTGATCCTTGAATGTGCCTTTGATGAGCTGATGAAGAATGTCGGGGGCGAGAAGTTCGTGGATGTCAGCGCGGGGGAAGTCATTTGTGAATGGCTAAGGTTAATGTTAGTCTACATCTAATGAAGAAGGAACAGACGACTCACAACAACGTTGGCTATTATACCATAAGAATCCCATAACATAACCGGATGGAAGTCCTCCACAAGCGCGTCGTTGTGCTCTCGACAGCGCAGCAGTGTGTCGTCGGCGTCCAGGTTCTCGGGATATGCCAGGCATCTGAGGGGAATCAATCAATACTGGGACACCATTGTACACGCAAAGGGTACTCACCGGGGACACCAGCCCTGAACGACACCAGCGAGAAGGACTTGTTCGGGATAGTCTGCTATGTAAGGCCCGATCCCCCAAATCACTCGCCGGTGGTAACCGTCGCCAAATCGGACCACCTCATATTTCGTCATCCCGGCTTTGAAGACGTCGAAGATTGTCGCGAGGGAGCAGTGGTAGAGCTGGCGCCGGAAATGCCGGAATTGAGGGTCCGCATTGTATGTCTTGTTTGCTAGACAATACGGTTAGTTTGGTCCACTAAACCGGACTGCAGGGCACGTACTTTTCGGAACTGAAAGAAAGCCGGCGAGAGCAAGAGCGTCTTGGTGAGCGCGGCGAGTGTTGTTGTGGACGTTGCCGAGGGAGATATACAAGGGGTAATACTCTGTGTGCCCGGTAGCAACAGAGACGGTAGTCTTGTCACTACCAAGAACAAAGGGGATGAACGTCGCCCCGTGGTTGTCTGGGTCTTCGGAAATTTGGTCCTATAGAATAAGTCAATTAAAACGAACAACAAGAGGGCTCAGAAACTGACCGCTTGGTCCCAAGCCCAATCACCCGACAACAGGTTCTCGTAATGACGCATGTCCGAGTCGTCATAGTCACGATATGGTGTGAGGTCAATGTGCTCCTGAAGATCCGGCCGTGCGAGCATCTGCTTGAGTATCTCCCGAGGGTCGCGGAACCAAACGTCGTATTCTGCCTTCATCCACGGAGGAACATGGTTGCTGGGACGAGGTCCCTGATAGGTGATGTTGAACGATTGCCATGGAATGTTGCCGACTTCAATAGCGTCAATGGTGCGGTACATGGTCTTGTGGTCGGGGAAGGGTGAGCTAGTGTTGCTCGGCATCATGCACTCCCAGATCTTGCAGAGAAGGTCAATATGTCCACCTGACATCTGAGTTCGTCGAAAAAGAAGGTCCGCGGTTTCAAACTGAAGTTGATCATTGAAGGGAAAGAAGTCGGTTGGTGGGCGCTGAGGAGGTGGAGATGGAGGTGCGTCGGGCGGAAGGAAAGTTCCATTGGGAGAACATTTTCGCGCTAAATAGAAACATTAGACATTTTTCTAGTAATTGGCTAAACAACGTACCAGTCATAAATTTATGGAAAATTCGCCGAATGGGTCCTAGGTCGGCTACTTCCCCAGTGCCGTCTTCATCATCATCTTCATGTTCTTGAGGCCAGTTGTTGGGG